TTAAGCTCACCTTTTTTATTCGTGTCTTTTTGCTGTGAATGAAATTCTCATTTTTCTGTCATTTTCTGCTTTCAAAGCCAATTTTAAATTGATTTTCGGCTTCGATTCAAAATTAATGAAACACCTTTGTTTTAAATTGATTGAATTGTATTTTGATTGCACATGTTTTTGCAAAAATATAATGCGGTTGTGAGTACTCTTCGAAATTCTAAAACCAAACACGAAATTGAATTCAAGTGACGTATTTATTATGCGAATTATATGAATCATTGGTTCTCACGCATGAATATCCATGGAGGTGATCAACTGAAAGTGCCAACTCTATCTACATTTGTTTAGATGCGCACAAAGTTAAAATGAATTATGTCTAATAACTATGCAGTTTATGTGAATACTTAAAAAACCATATAAGAAGAAATTTCATGAAGTTCGCTCATTCGCTTTTTCCGCCAACGAAACCGCGCATAATCTCCATCGGAAGAGGGAATATTATGGTTGAATTTTTTTCGGCCGCAATCGAGTGCAAGGTTTGAAGATAACGCAATTGAAGTGCAGCTGGTGATTTGCAAATAACCTCTGATGCTTCTTGTAGAGCAATCGAAGCCTTCATTTCACCTTCGGCCGCAATGACTTTGGCGCGTGCTTCACGCGATGCTTCGGCCTCTGCAGCCATGGCACGTTGCAATTGACTCGGCAAACTTACATCCTTACTGTAAACCAATGAATAAGATGATTAAAAATTACAAGATAATTGGCGAACAATTGATAAAAACTTACATTTCAACTCGTTCAACAAAGATGCCCCATGGTTCAGTCGCAATGTCCAGTGATTCTTGCATGGTATGTGATATGGATTCTCGTTGCGCTAGTAATTCCGATAGATTTTTCATGCCCAATACGTTACGAAGAGTCGTTGCTGCCAAGAGTTCTGTTGATCTTCTGTAGTTTTCGATCTGAAAAATTGGACATTTTTTTGGTAAATATTTTTTTTTAAACTAATCAAAACTTTAGACGAATGCCAGAAGATTTCCCAAAAATATCTTTCGTGAAAATTCGTGAATTTAAAAAAAAATATTTCCAGAAAACCATCCAAAATTCGCTTAAACTGCGTTGTAAATAATAGATTTTTCTTGCCTGAACAACAGCTTTGAGTGGATCCCGAATACGATAATAAACAACAGCATCAACCTGCACTGTAACACTGTCCTTTGTTAAAACCTCTTGTGGTGGTACGTTGAATGATACGGTTCTTAAATCACATTGGCAATAAGTGTCAATACACGGTAAAACGAAAAATATGCCAGGACCTCGAGCACCACCCTTCCTATTTCAAAATAAATCAGATCTTAAATATGGTAATCCTTAAAATTCAAAGGTGTCAAACGTCCGTCCGCGATTTTTTCAGACAAATTCCGAAATGTCAAACCTTTAAGGTAGGACGAGCGAACACCAAAATATCCGTTCGCGTTTGTCCGTTTGACACCCTCGCTGTAAATGAAATGCCATAGTTTGAACTCGAGTTGTAATCAAATCTTTTAAACAATTTAAACTGTTTTTTAAATCACCAAGAAGTAATGGTATCCATCTAATTCTTCTATTAAATAGCATATATGTTCTCTCAAACTGTTTTTTTTTAAACAGTGGCAGATGCTAAAATTAATTGATCGAACGCTTCAGTTGACAACTCGCCCACGATATATTAAACATCTGTCGTATATTCTCCTATTATACTCACTTCAAACGACCCATGCGAAATATAACGGCACGTTCATATTCCGACACCACTTTAAAGCAGACAAACAATGAAAACGGCATCGTTATTATTATTAGAATCGCCGAGAGGATGAAGGCAGCCGTTTCAACAAACGTAGAAATGGGCTCTTGTGCTGGAAAGTAAAAAAATAACAACAATCGCAAAAGATAAGTTTGATTTAAATTTAAAAAAGTTTTTCGCATAAATGGCTTCGATATTCAAGCCGGATGTTTGAGAAATCAATGTTCTGTGATATGATTCACGATTTGTAGTTAAACAAAATACTTGAACAGAAAAAAAATGAATGAAACTTAAGTAAAAGATAACCCGACAATAGTAGAACACGATCATCGTTCAAATTATTATTCGAAATCTATAAATTCTGGGAGAATATTCTTACATTGTGAAGAGTGATTCATTCACTCTCGTTATATTACATTATGATATATTTTTCATTTTTATTGCGCGTTTGAATTGAGAAATGAACAAAAATAAAACAAATAATTTCGTAAAAATAAGTTAAACAACCACGCAGATAATGAATTTTCGGGCTTGAACGAAATCAACTGAATTAAACCCTCACAAAAGATCGAAAATGCTACTGTTAAACCGAAATGAAATGTGATGCTCATACTTTAGCAATTATTCCTGCACTTATTGAAGTAAATCACAGAGTTTTGCACTAACGCATGTTCTTCTTTGTGTCATTCGCAATATCGAACACAACGCGAACATTAAAGAACCAAGACAACAACAAAGCAGTGGCTATTAGATTCGATAATATTCTCACTGCGAATATAGCTTGAGCTTAGCGAAACTCTGTGTATATATTTCCATGAGAAAAAAATTGCTCACAGAGTTACTTCGATAAGGGTGAGAATAAGTGCAAACGCTTTTTTTTTGAGTGCGGTTGTATGTTACGGGTAATGTAGTTGTTTTCTTCTTGAATGCGATATAAAATAAAAAATAAATAAAAATAATGTTATCGCATAGCATGAACAAACATCGTGTTCTATTTTGGTAGCAAAACAACATTATCGATGAGTATCTGCATATTTTAACATTTTGTTGAATTGTTTTATTCTCTCTCTCTCATGATTTCATTTTCGTAAACAGATCATTTTGTTAAAAAAAAATGTTTCTATTCCTCGGCACCCCCAATCATCCTGTGAAGTCAGATTTTGAATTACTTTTCTTGTTTGAAAGTTATCGTGTTAACAAATTTTTGAGTACAGGGTACAGCGTACAGCGTACAGCGTACAGCGTACAGCTAGGGGGTAGACACATGGAATATTACTTGAGATATTCACCGAAATTGAAGGTATTCTTGGTATTCTTGGTATTCTTGGTATTCTCAGTCTTAGACGAAATGTCAGTGCATTCAGCAACGTCTCACAATGTGCATTTATGAATATTATCTTCCAAATATTAAAAACACTTTTTCAACGCTATTAAGTGTATTATTTCAATTGGTTTAATAAATGCAAAAACAATTTTGATAAAAATGACAGAAAGAAAACAGAAAAAATTAAAATAAATTTCGAAATGGTGAATGTTAAAACGAAATGGAAAAAACTTGAAATCTTTATTACCGATATCAATTTGACATTTGGTAATCACGGTATTCACATTTTTAATACAAGTAATCTTCAAATAAGTAAGTAATTGCCGTATTTGAAAATAGATAGGTATTATGACAATTCATTGGTATTCATTCATTCTCTATTGTGTCTACCTCCTAGCGTACAGCGTACAGCGTACAGCGTACAGCGTACAGGGTACCACGCACATACATTCGGACATCGAAAAAACGCTAGATTCGTGTTCCCTGGCTCCTAAAACATCCAGAAAACATGTTTTTTGAGGGTGTTAATTTTTCGACCGATTCCAATACTTTACCTTACACACTAGGTGTGTGCGGAAAAGTAAAAGCAGTCTTTGTATGGTGGTGTTAAATGTCAATAAACTCTTAGAAGAAGTCTCACATTCATACTCGGGCAATCATTTATATCTAACACGTTGTATGTGACCAAAATTGAAGCATTAAATAAATGTATACACATCGACGATCGTTGAATAGAATCGATAGAATGGACAAATGCGATCAAACGGTTAGAAATTTTTTTTTTAATTCGTGAACAAGTATGTATGCATAAATAACATTTTCGGCCACAGTAGATTGATGTCTTCACTCATCAAAGCATTGTTACACTGTCAAGTATTTTATGTGTATCTTAAACGGTTTATTACACATATATATAGTCTCGAATACAAACGGCATTGGTATATGTTTAAATATGAATTATGTAAATTTTAGCCGGTTAGCGATAATAATAAAACGGCGCAAATTGACCACGCCTCATCTATCGCTTGCCTCAACATCTTTTGTTTAAATTTCGAATAACATAAAAAATAACAATTTTAATTTAACTCACAAGTTTGGCTGGCATTGCCTCTGATCAAATTATCGGTTGGACGTTCATCGCTCCTGATTGGCACCACAAAATCGTTGTTGTGTGACATTTTTTATAAAAAATTAAAAACTGTTCCGTTGAAAAACAAACGTTTGATCAAAAAAACACTTCCACTCGCGACAAAAAACCAAAGAAGAATGACGATCACGCACAATATTTGAATGTTGGTGTAGCTCCGATTTGCCGAAATTTAATACACATACAAATGTTTTGTTTACTAGAAAGTAGTTGTATACACAAATGATGTCATCGTCTAATAAATACACCCAAAAAATTATACGCCAAATTTTTTTGAAAATCTCAACTCTTTATGCGGGTGAACAATACGTGTATTTTATGCGCTTTTCACGATCAAATAACAACACATGGTAATTTTATATCTTTAATATAGAATTTTTAATGGATTCACTCTCAAACACTTCAAACCAAACAAATCGACTGAATGTCAGACGGCGTTCTTTTTTCGAATGAGCATGAGAATAATAAACAGCGGGAACAGTTGTATATATATATAGAATACATTGAATTACTATATATATCATAAGAGACGTGGATCTCACACATGTACAATTATTCACAATACGCGTTAAACACAGCGACAGTGCGTGTCGCGTATCTGTTACTTCGAAAACGATTCGGTTTGGTTGATCGTATTTTTATGTATTGTTGTATTAACCATTTCATTTCATTGTATCTTCCTTTTCCATTCTATTTTCATGTCATTTTTGCTATTCCTGGAAATATATTCCAGAAAAATGGAATGGTACGCTTTGATCGCGCTTAATATTTGATATAACTTTTGTGTTAATGATACTAAATCGATGATCTTTTTTTAGCTATTATGTTTTTCAATTATCATTCTTACCATGTGAATAAATTTATTTTGCCGCACACCTGGGTATTTGTGTATGGGAAAAATATTTGTTCTTTACTATTAGTCAAATCCCTTCTAATATATGTCCATATGAATTCTAAGCAAGGTACTATTAGCTCGATATTAGCTCATTGATCTATGTTCAGTTTATATTTATAAACTAAACATACAAAACAAAATATGTTTGGATTCGAACACATTAAACAAGATGTTTTGATTCATATATATTCTTATAATGTGTGTAGCCTACTTTTTGGCGAAAAAAATCATTTTCACATCATACCGATATCAAACATGAATTCCATATAAAAATCCAAATTTGAGATAATTTTTGCAAATATTTGTATGAAAAGTGCATCGCAAATTTAATACATCAGATTCGGATTTATATGCCAAAAAAACCTCTCTACATAGTGTTCTTATTGAAAAGAGACTATTTTCAAACGGCATCAAACTAGATCTATCATGAAAATAACCATTCAACCTCGCCCACCTTAAAAGATTTTTTCTGACAAAACGGGAGATCACTCTTTCTCATCAATCTACAAAAGTTACTTCAACCCGGCAAAAAAAGTATCACTTATCACAGCCACTCATTTTAATAACTTTTTTCGACAAAACTTATCAAAAAAACAATGAAAACATTGATTAAATGAGGAAAAAAAATGATAAAATATAAAAATTCGTTTACTGAAGAGATTTGTAACGACTGTCTGCTATTTACAAAAGTCGCTGCCACTTCGATTACTGTTTTGTTGCGATTACTCCAATAGATTCGATGATCAGTCACCGATGGGTTAACTATTTTTATACGACAATGTTTGCGCCAAAAATGTGTGCTTGACGTTTTCACTAGAATTTCACACATCCTATTTTCGGCATTTCACACAGTTCAATTTCCAATATACATCAATCGTACTTTTTTCAGTGAATTTTGTGGATTTTATCTAGTTTATTATCAATTTGATTTTAATCATATTTTAAAAAAAATGTTCCAATATGTCCCTTTACACTTCCAATTGAATTGATGATAGTCATTTATATCAAATTACGATTTTGTGTTTTTGTTTTGAATCGTAATAAGTTTATCAAACATGGGTGATACAATAAAACATGACGAAGTAAGTCAAGTTTTACTTACAAACAACATCAAGATGAATTGGAATGAAGAAACATTTTCTTTCCAAAAAAAAATGTTAATAGAATCTGCCAAACGTGGAATGGAACTTCTATCACCTATGCGAACTGTTAAAATATGAATTCTTACAGGCGCTAGACAGATTGGATCCACACAGTAAAATTGAGCTGTCTGCAGCGTCAAAAAATGTTGAGCAAATGTTACTTTTGGCAATTGAGAAGGATTTAACGATAATTGCAGAAAAAATGTTCGAACTAAACATTGTGTCTGAAAAAAATGCAACTCTACCATTGAAATTTGCGTGTTCGCATGGAAAGTGGAGATGTTTGGAAGTACTTTTGAAATATCTGAAGTTGAATATTAATTCGGTGGCGTTGTTGCCAAATGTTGTGAAAAACATTGGCCAAAAATCAAGTGAAACGGTGAATTTTGAGAAATGCTTCGAAATTCTTATGAATCACAACATTGACGTGAATCAATTGGATTCATTCAACAAATCGGCACTGCATTATGCGATAAAAGGCAATCATTTGAGCATAATTTTGGAATTATTACGAAAAGGAGCGAATATTGGTGTTAAAAATGATTTCGATCATTTTTCAATAGGACATATCAATCCAAAGGTGCTGGAAGCACATTTTGATAGCTGTATCACCACCAATGGACTGAACGATAGCAATTTCGAAATTCAATTCAATTTCAAAAATTTGGTTCGCAGCCAAAATAAAGCAAACTATAAGCATCAAGCCAACGAAATGTCAATCATTGAATATATTTCAAAGTCAAAAAGTCTTAAGCATTTGATGATGCATCCGCTTATATCCGGATGTTTGGCATTGAAGTGGAATCGGTTGGCGCCATTTTTTTACATCAATTTTATATTTTGTTCATTGTTTTCGGTAATTACCATCGCATATATATTGGCGTTTTACAATTATGATGCTGAAAAATACGGCGTTGGATGTTTTCGGAATGGTTCATTCGAAGAAAGTCAAGTGAGTTTCGCTGTATTCAAAATAAATTCAGTGATAAAAATATGTTGTGGTCATGAAAAATAGACTTATAATACAAGGTTCGTTTCTGATTTCATACAGAATTTCAATGAGAATATCAGAGTTTTGATGCGGGCCGTGACTTTTCTATTTACAATCTATGTAACAGCGCGTGAAATATACCAATTCATACTAGGGCCAATGCGATATTTGCGAAGCTTTGAAAATTACTTGGACTGTTCTTTGATTGCATTTTTGATGTTGATTTCGTTTGATATTCAGTTGGGTAATTGGCGTCCAACCATTGCAGCCACATCGATTTTGTTGATTTCCGTGGAAATTTTCCTATTAGTTGGATCGCTACCATTTTGGTCTTATTCTTCCTATTACATCATGTTAAAAACGGTTACATGGAGCTTCTTAAAAAGTCTGTCACTCTATGCAATCGTCTTATTTGCATTATCTTTTTCGATGTTTGCACTACAACAAGAACCATCGAACCACGGTATATCAGCAACTGCTTTGTGTAATGATAACACCACAATTTTCAGTGGCAATCATTCTGGATTCGACAAATTGGATCTTTTGTTATTGATTAAAGATACTTTGGACATGCTTAGTGGTAGAATCACCGAAAAGACGCACCATTTCAAAACGGACGATGCCAGGTACTTTTTTTGTCACAATTTCAATTTTAGTCACCTTTGTCGTGGCCAATTTATTCCGAGGTTTGGCTGTCAGCGAAACACAGGCCATCAGATCCGAAACTGAATTGACGAAGCTCATCAGACGGGCACAAGTTTTGATGCGGTATAAAAAAGTCTTTAACAGAAGGTACTTTACAGCATTTAATCCATACTAATGAAATACGTAGTTTTGCGGTTCGACGCGCCACCTGTAATATGTCAAATGAACGTACCGAACTATTTCAGTACGCATCTATGTTTATAACAAACAACGACAATAATTCATTACTGGATTTTTATTAATTTTTGTTGCTAAAATAATTTTAAACAACTTTACATGCATAATAATAATAATATAATTTTCTTTAGTTGAATAAAAGTTACCGAATGTTGATTTTATGCAATTCTTCGCTTGAATGTGATTGAAATGTATAGTCCGACTCCAGCAGCTGAATCAAGATTTTTTTTGTTTCAGTGTAGATATTTCAAGAATTTATTCATTTAACACGGATAAAAGTATCGGTTAAAAAAATGAAAGATAAAACCAATTTATAAAATAAAAAATGTCTATTCTGAATTTATGTGCACATCGAGCTGCTGAAGTCGCTAGCATAAGAACAAAAATGTCAATTCAAATGGACAGTTTGTAGCGAATGGAAAAATGTTATTTTTTTAGAACATGACCAGTTTTGAATCAAATCGTGAATTAATTATTTTTATCCATCCGAAAAAAATAATTAAAAAGAAGATTTTTTGAGTTTTTCAGAAATAAAAATCATTATTGAATGTTGCTTTTTGAAAAAACAGCTGCTGGACTCCAGCAGCTGGATGACACTACTGGTACGCGTAGTAGCTGTCAAACTTGACGTTTCACTGCTATGATTTAATCCATACTTTAAGCTCCATTTTATCAAAAAGTATAAACTTATTCACAGATACCCGTCATTCTACTCGAAATTCTTTAATTTAACAAAGAAAGAGCATGAAACGGTTTATCACATCCAAGTTCAACCTTATTATAACAATCGAATTTCGATCTTTGATTTTTGCACAGATGACGAAATAAGTGAGACGAATGATTTTATAAATCATGAATATCATTTGAAACCATCACGTTGTGTGCATCGTTTTTTCTGTTTTGGTCAGTGCACACAGATGAATCCTAAAGTGGTTGAAAGCGCTATTCATCTTCTACAAAAGAACGAAAACACCGAACACAAAGTCGATAAAATGGACCAACTCAACAAACGCATTTCAAAAATAGAATGCACACTTGAGAACATCGTAGATAAGTTGAACGAACTTTTGACTAAATATAACGACGACTGACAAAAAGGGATTGAAATTAAAACGAGTCACGAAAGCATTGAATCAGCTGTTAATCTTGTTTTATTATAAAAATAAACATTTTTAA